TAGAGACGGGGTTTCACCATGTTGACCAGGATGGTCTCGATCTCTTGACCTCGTGATCCACCCGCCTCGGCCTCCCAAAGTGCTGGGATTACAGGCTTGAGCCACCGCGCCCGGCCAAAACACTGTTTTCAATAAAATAGAGAATAAAGTAACAAAAGCAACGCTATACTTACCAGGACACTGTATTCCCAAATCATCCTCCAGAAGTCCAGGAGAGTTGTAGATAAAGGACCTTGGGTGGCAATATAAGCCTTGGGTCCATAAACTCCCTACAGGGGAACAAAAATTACATGGGGTGACCACAAATAGTATCCTGTTCTCACCTAGTCCTCCTGTTCCTTTTTTTTGAGGTGTCCTCACTGTGTTACCCAGGCTGGAGTGCAATAACATAATCACAGCTCACTGCAGTCTTGACTTCCTGCCCTTAAGCAACGCTCTTACCTCAGCCTCTTCGGTAGCTGGGACTATAAGCACATATTACCACATCTGGCTAGTTTTATTGTTTTTTTTTGTTTTTGAGATGGAGTCTTGCTCTGTCACCCAGGCTTGAGTGCAATTGTGCAATCTCAGCTCACTGCAACCTTCGCCTCTCAGGTTCAAGCGATTCTCCTGCCTCAGCCTCCTGAGTAGCTCAGATTGCAGGCATATGTCACCATGCCCAGCTAATTTTTGTATTTTTAGTAGAGGTGGGGTTTCACCATGTTGGCCAGGCTGGTCTCGAACTCCTGACTTTAAGCAGTCTGCCCGCCTCAGCCTCCCAAAGTGCTGGGGTTACAGGCGTGAGCCAGTGAGCCCGGCCAATTTTTAAACTTTTTGTCAAGATGGGGTCTCATATGTTGCCCAGGCTGGTCTCAAACGTTTGGGCTCAAATGATCTCCCCTGAGATAGCGGGGGGAGAGATGCCAGATGTAGGTGATGGGGAGGAAGGCAGCAAATCACACTGCCACGTGTGTACCTATGCAACAATCTTGCATGTTCTTCACATGTACCCCAAAACCTAAAATGCAATAAAATAAATAAATGGGGAAAAAATGATCTCCCCTTTTTTTAGGTATCTAAAGAAATGTGGAATGCTTTTATTTTCTTTCACTGTACCTTAATGAAGTTGGCATTGATGTAGCTGGAATCCTCATCAGAAGTTATCAGGGATAGTTCTACCCGGCTATAATCATCTATAATAAAAAAGAAAGACATAGTACAATTAAGAAGCCTTAGTCAGCAGATTTAAATCAGAGCCTAACACTGTGAATAGCATATGCTCATGAGTGAACAAGTGCATGAATGAATGAATATTCTTTTGCAGTCATGAATAGTACAAATTAAGTTGTCAATGCCATGTTCCAAGATCAGGATCAGTAAGCAATGAGTAAAAAGAGATAGTAATGATTGAGTTTGGGAGACAGTATGAGTTTATAGAAAGAAATGGAACTTACAGGGCAAAATATCCTTATATCTGTTTTTCTTGATGTTCTCAGGCTTCTCCGCCACAGTTGTAGGATAGGTTTTGTCTGCCTTGTATTTGGTAGATTGCCTTTTCAGCTTCTGTAATAAGATTCCAAGAATAATTAATCTTCGTAGAGAAATAATCTCTAAAGTGCTTTTCTTTTCCACTGCCCAAACATTCTACCTCAACCCTTTTATTATCTTCTGGGGCTTACTCCATTCAGGACAGAGCTGCAGAGAATAAGGAGAACAGAGTTCAGTGACATTTGGAGAAGTGAAAAGATCACACTTACTTCAGCTGAGCCACCGATAGTCACAGACAGAACTTAAAGGTGAAACTTGTGACTATTTTAAGAACCAAATATCTTCTGAAAGCAAAGTATATGCTCCACTCAAAGGGCAGATATTAAAAGCTTAATTTACTTTCTTTATACCTACTTTTTAGTTAAATGGTCAACTGGAAAATTAAGTTCCATTAGTCTTTTTACTTCAGATCACTTTCTTTTCCTAAGTGGAAGTGGAGCTTAAGCTGAATAAAATCTCTCTATATAGCAAAATTTCAAAGATCTCAGTTCCAAAAATCACTTTTTTTTTTTTTTTTTGAGATAGAGTTTCACTTCATCACCCAAGCTGGAGTGCAGTGGCTCAATCACAGCTCACTGCAGCCTCAATTTTCCGGGCTCAAGTGATTCTCCCACATCAACCTCACCTCCCACCTCAGCCTCACCTCCTGAAAGCTGGGACCACAGGCATGAGCGTCATGCCCAGATAGTTTTTGTATTTTCAGTAGAGAAGGGATTTCACCATGTTGCCCAGGCTGGTCTCAAACTCCTGGGCTCAAGCAATCTGCCTTCCTTGGTCCCACATAACTTTTATTACAGTATATTATCATAATTATTCTACTGTATTATTAGCTATTATTGCTAATCTCTTGTACATAATTTATAAATTGACCTTTATTATAGATATGTATGTATAGGTAAAAACAACATAGTATACATAAGATTTAGTACTATCTACTGTAGGTCTTCCAACACATCCCCCATAGATAAAGAGAGCCTACTGTAGTTTGAATTCCTCTGGATTTTCAGAATTGGATTTGAGAGGAGAGATACTGAACAGATATCTTTTGTTTGTTTGTTTTTTTGCTTTAACTTGAACCCCAAGAAGCTACTAAACTATCTTTATAGCATATTTTTACTTCAAGATGGGTATGGATACCAGTGGACTAATTTGGGAATTTAAGGACACGTGAAAGGCTATGTTGAATTTCTGCTGAAATTACACCAATGTGTCCGCTCTCCCTGCTCTTAAGAAACCCCAGAATGATCATCTTCAGGCTGCTGTTGATCCCAGGGCTGCTGAAAAATCTCAAGTCCCAGAACAGTTTCTTCTAGAAATCTCCAGAACTAAGCTCAGTGCATACTCCTTGTTATATTGTTTTAATTTATTTTTGTTTTGTTTTGCTTGTGGAGTGCTTTCTAGGGAGAATGCTACACACAAAGCCCTTTGCATAAGTATGCTTCAATTAATTTGGCAAAATGTCATAGATAAAGGTGACGTGTTTGCGTGTATGTGTGTCCTATATTTGTTTAGCTGCCTTCACCGCCACCTTCAACAATGAGGCAGAAGAATGGCTTTCATTTTTGCTACTCCTTTCCTCCCCCTGGAGTAATCTGGCTGGATGACAAAGGGAAACACTCTTAGCAAAACATCACACAGGAAATGCCTGCAGAATTGTTAACTTGTAATGTATGAAAGATTTGATTTTTTTCCCCTCAAACATCCTATCTTAAGGTCATACCACTGTGAAGGTTCCGTTTTCTTTCTTTCTTTTTTTAAAATTGAGATTGAGTCTCGCTCTATCACTCAGGCTGGAGTGCAGTGGTGTGATCTTGACTCACGGCAACCTCTGCCGCCCAGGTTCAAGCAATTCTTATGCCTCAGCCTCCCAAGTAGTTGGGACTACAGGCACCTGCCACCACACCCAGCTAATTTTTTTTTTGTATTTTTAGTAGAAAAGGGGTTTTGCCATGTTGGCCAGACTGGTCTCGAACTCCTGACCTCAAGTGATCTGCCACATCGGCCTCCCAAAGTGTTGGGATTACAGGCGTGAGCCATGGCTCCCAGATGGCTTCCTTTTTCTCTTCCACCCCTCTTCTTGCCAGACCCCTGGGCTCTAATACCCCAACAAAGAACAAATTAGGACAGAATTAGGGCAGAAGAAGTGATAAACTACACCAGAACAGGAGGAACTCTGAGAGTAGAAAGCAAAAGGGTATAAAAGAGAAAGCAGGGTCATGGGGATGGGTTTAAGTTTGGGAAGAAAAGATATGAGATCTAAAGGGTGAAGGTATTTCTCTGCCAACTACAAGGTAGAGGGTATGAGTTCCCTAGAGGAGGTACCATCAAGAGCAATCAGGGGAATAGTCGCCAAGAGAATAAAGTGAAGAGGCTGGGTGCAGTGGCTCATGCCTGTAATACCAGCACTTTGGGAAGCTGAGGCGGGCAGATCATGAGGTCAGGAGTTCAAGACCAGCCTGGCCAACATAATGAAACCCCATCTCTACTAAAAATACAAAAAAATTAGGCAGGCATGGTGGTGGGCACCTGTAATCCCAGATACTCCAGAGGCTGAGGCATGGAAAATCACTCGAAACTGGGAGGCGGAGGTTGTAGTGAGCCGAGATAGCACTACTGCACTCCAGCCCGGGCGACAGTGTAAGACCCTGTCTCAAAAAAAGAATAAAAAGAGCTCAGCATCCCTCTGGTTTGTAGATGATACTACCCCTTTCCTTTCAAGAAAGGAGAGGAGAACGGGGGTCCTGGCCAGCATAACAAGGAGTATTAGACTCTAGAAATCCGGACCGAGTCATTGCATGTGATTCTCATAGACTAGTAAATAAATGCACTCTCAAAAAAGAACAGAAAATAAAAGGAAAGCACAAGACCAGATAGATATCTTTGCCTTGAAGGACTACATTACTGGATATAAGACATAGCATTTTAGAGACATTTTAGAGAGACGAAAATCAAAGTTGGCCCTCCTGTGCTAGATGGGAGAGGACAAAGTTTGGCTGTCTCCAGAACTCTGCAAGGTAGTTCCTCTGTGCCTTGCAAATATAGGTCAGTATTATGCCAAGCCTCCACCAGGACAGAAAAAGTACGAGTGGTAAGGAATGGCCATTAGGAGCTCAGGCCTCTGAATCCAGTAGACAAGAGTACTACCAGTAGGAATGGAGGACAAGACTTAATTGTCTGAGCCTGCAATGCAATCATCTTCAACAAGGCAGGCAGATTTATTGAGTTTAGTTTCTAGTGCAATAGTGGGGCAAATGGGTAGGTGGGAGGCAATAGCTAAACTAGGGTGAGTAAACCAAGAGCTTCAACTTTAGATACATAAAATATGAGAAAATGGCAAGAAATGTGTTTGTTTGTTTCTGAGATGGAGTCTTGCTCTGTCTCCCAGCAGCGAGTGCAGTGTTGCAATCTTGGCTTTGTGCAACCACTGCCTTCCAGGTTCAAGTGATGCTCACACCTCAGCCTCCCAAGTATCTAGGATTACAGGCGCCTGCCACCATGCCTGGCTAATTTTTGTATTTTTAGTAGAGACGGGGTTTCACCATGTTGGCCAATCTGGTATTGAACTCTTGACCTCAAGTGATCCGCCTGTCTCAAAGTGCAGGAATTGCAGGTGTGACCCACTGCACTCGGCTAAGAAATGTGTTTTAAGTGTCCTGTGAATAAATGAAATGTAGGACTACATAACCCCTAGTGAGAGGCTGGAGATGGAGTTAGAGAAATCAGCTTCAGAGGAGATGTGATACATTTATTCTGGTGGTGGCATTTTTAAAAATTGCACCTTAATGTGCACAAAGGTCAAGAAATGCTGATAAATATGTTCAAGTGATAGGCTGATTCGCAGGAACCAGTAGTAAACATCAGAGATGTTTGTGCACTTGATCTGTAGGATGTACTATGTTGATAACTGGTTAGTGTTGTTACTGTAATACATACAGAACAAGGGTGCATCTATGTCTCCTTTATAGAACCAAGATGTAGCCAGGTCTTTGATCTGTCTCAGATTTTCTAATGAGTCTCCAGAAGTTGCTACAGTATCAGTCTGACTTCTGGTATATTTTAAACCTTTAGCACTTAAACCTGGCTTTCAGAAATAGGTATCTTCTTTCTATTAGGATTCAGTGAATGCTTCATATTCAATAATT